CTCCACACAGAGGAAGCAGAGAAGTGAAAGGTGGCCCGGCCGGGGCAAGGAGGGGCCCTGCTCTGTTACTCCTCTTTCCAGCTCTCAATAGTCTCTTCATCTGTTTGAGCCAGTCACCAAAGACCAGGGCAAGGGGGCGTTTATTAAAATATTGTTATTCAATGGTCTCTTTTCTGCTTGTGAACAAGAGGCAGCTGAGGCGTCTGTTCTGCTCTCTGACCTGCAGTGACTGTCTTTTTCCATGCCGTGATCGCCCATAATGGGTTCGACTGTCGTGTTTATATTTAGTGAGAAAAGGGAAAAGGGTCTAACTTCCTTTTTTTTTTTAAGACCGTCTGAGCTTAAATCGGGCACAATGCCGGAGCTTTGTGTGTACGAGAGGTTGGAGGTGGAGCTGAAACTAATAGAAAACTTTGTCGGATCCCCATCTGTCCAAAATATTTCGGCCAACACGCAGATTTCATCAGCTGCTGTTTGTGGTCAGGCACCAAGGGCAACAACAATAACACAGGAAGAGCAGCTTTCCAGCTGGTGTCTAATTTTCTTAAGTGGCCTAATTTTCTATTTTGTCCAATATGCTTAAAATTGTAAAGCTATTTCTCCTGACAGTGATTGCTGGCAGGGTCAGTTCACTCCTAATGCAACATGGTTATCACAGCTTCAAATATAATATGAACTGTATAACTGAACAGGACTGTAGCTTTGAGGACACAGGAGTTATGTCTTCTCTAAATTACCTGAGTTTGGTTTTCAGCAACTTTGGCAAGTAAAATAGTTAAGATGGTGAGTTCTACAGGGTGATTAAAATTTTTTTTTACCCAGCATGTTAACATGTGACAGCGTTTATTCCAGTAAAAACATAAACAAGTCAATATTTTAGATTTATTCCACCAGTTTATTCTCTTTATCTACAAGAAAGAAAAGTAATATCATCTTTGTGTACACTGCTTGAACAGTTTGGGCTGAGTTGTACAGGTTTTTATATTGAGTATCTCTCCCCACAGAACTGGCAGTGATCTATCAGACCTTTTTTAATAATAAGTCAAAAGTTTGAGTCACTTTTCAAGCAAAATGCGTAAAAATCACTTGTTCCACCTTTTCAAATAATGATTTTCTTGGTAGCATATGATAAACTAAATATATTCAGGCTCTGTTAGAGGAATACATCTGAACAGGACATTTTGCCAATTTTTTTGGTAATCAAGACAATAATCAGCAAACCAGTTGCTAATGAAAATAATAAATGGTTGCAGCTCTGACTTATTCACTTTGTATATTATGCTTCTTGATGACTTCACTGCACCACTAACGTCTCTCCTCTTCTTTTCCTCAACAGTACCAACTCAACGGTCAGATGTCTCGGATGGAGCCTTGCTTGATGGGCAGTACTCCTCGGTTGCACCCCACACCTGTGGCCTCTCGGTGGCCAGATGTGTCACCGACCAACACCTGTTACACCAGCCCACCTATGCATTCATCCCGCTATGCCACCTCTGGGGACATGTACTCCCCCCTGGGCCCACGCAGGAACTCAGAGTACGAACACTCACAGCATTTCCCCGGCTTTGCCTATATCAACGGAGAAGCCACCACCGGCTGGGCTAAATAGCCTTCGAACACTGATTTGCTATATATAAGCTCCAGGCCTGCCACACAGGTGGATGCAAAGTCTCTGAACACTTCCGATCAAGTACATGGAGGAGGAGCAGAGAGTGGAGAGTACCAATGCAAGGTAAAAGGAATCATTGTGTGGACGTCCAGACAATTTGAAAAGACTCATTCCGTCAGTCACGCTGATGATTGAGGTGTTTGTCAAAAGTTTCATCAGCAAGCGATGGAAGAAAACTATTAAATCATACAGATTGTCAAAACTTGCAGCAAAATCATTTTGAGAGTGCAATGCTGCTGCCAAGCTGTGCCTTTGTTTTTAGGAATGTACACCTCTGCCCTCGTCAGTCTCACAAGTCACCGCACACGTTGTCCCAGCCGCCAGTCAGTTTGGTCGCTGACTGATGCATCAGTGTGTCGTAAGCTGTTACTGACACCAGTACAATCTCAGTGACACCACTGTCTCTCTCTTGTGTCTCAGCGCCGTGTCGCGTCGTGAATTCACTGCAGCAGATAAATGAACTGCACCGCCTTAACGTTCTCCTGGGACACCAGTATCATACAGTGACACAAAGCTAGAACATGACAAGTGACCGATATAATGAGAGACCTTGATCAGCATGTGAAGGTGTCTTCAACTTGGATAGTGTTTTAATGATTGAATGCTGTGACTCAGAAACAACTGTGCGAGTTTGTTTTGTTTTGCAAGCTTTTCTGCTGTTTTCCTGTGACCACATATATACATATACATATATGTAGATATATATGTGTATATATATATATATATATATATATATGAGTATGTATTTTCTGTAACTTTGTAACATGGTTTATTCTTTATTTTCTATGTTACAACTGGTACTTTGTTCTCTGTTTTGTATGGTTAGTAGAGGACGCATTAACCATTAATTAGGGTTGTGTGTTTTTATAATGCACTCAAAGCAACTGAGGACCTATTACCCTATGGGTATTTATAAAAAGGGAAAATATCAAAGTGTACAGTAACATGAATTCTAGTCACTTTTTTCTGTAAATAAAAGCACTGGAAACCATTTGTGGTGACTGTTCAACTATCACAGTTGAAACTGATGTGTATGTGGGGAAAAATGTTGCCACATAAATAATTTCACAATCTAAAGCAGTGGCTCATCTTTGTCAAAGTGTCCTCTTTATCCAGTCTGTTTCTTCTGTTCACTATTTCTTTACACCATCTGTGGAAAAATGCAAGAAATGATGCACAATAACATGTTATTGTATCTTTATAATAATCAGAATCAATTTCAGGACTGGAGCAAAGTCTTGAATTCCACTGATCTGTTTACTTTCTATGTTTAATATAAGATGGCTAATACACTTATTTAAAGTACATCCTACCTTCTTGTCAAATACGTCTGGACCTTAAATTCATGATTTGATTTCAGCCGTCTCTCACAATCCTCACATAGGCTTTGATGTTGAAAAGGAAAAACATTTTCTTACGTCCTCTGAGGTGATTTTTACTTCTCTCCGTGCACCCCATTGACAACACATGGGGGGTTGGGCCAGTAGCACAGAGGCCACACTGCAGAAAGAATTACATTTCAATGGAGAGAATGTCCTGCTGTGCTGAGGTCATTGTACCTCAGTCCCGTAACCTTTGACCTCTGACCCCTGCCGAGGTTTGTATTTATTAGAACATAGATCCTCTGTGTTCTGTTTCATTCTGCTGGATTCACAACGGATACTTTAGAAACCAACAACATGTTTACAGCAATAGACATAAAAAAAAGGGCCTCCTTCATTGTGATTTAATCACCTGACCTGAGTGTCAATATCAATATCCGCTGAGGATTTCAGGAGAAGATTGGCGAGTGTGGGTGTGCATGAGGAGGATGCTGTCAGTTGTGAGAAACGTGCACACGTTCCTCCTTCAAATAAAATAGTCATGTGCATTACAAATACTATAAAATACATTTGCAGCAAAATAATTTAATGCATATTCTAAAACTGATTTTCTTTTTTTTATTAAAAACAAGAAATTAACGTGGTTTATATTTTGAACTCGCAGTACCTATAAATGGATAGCGTGTCATTTATATCAGTCACATGCAACAGTGCATTGACAACAATGAATTATTTATATTGAGGGCGAGGCAGCCTGTAGCAATATTTATTAGTAGAAATACACAAACACACTTTCACTGTTAGTCTCCACTGTGCACGTCTTTGAGCTGCTGGAGGAAGATTCAAACTCTGAGGTTCAAACCCAGAAGTGTGAGGCAGCTGTGGCCAACATATCCTGATCCCATTCAATGATGTGATGCCATAGATTCACCAAAGTAAGAATCTAATAATGGCTTCATTGTTGCATTTTTCTCATTCATATTAGGCAAACAATATATTTTATTGAAGAGTCACTTTTTATATTGAGTCAAAACTTACCTTTATATAGATACCAGGGTTATTGATCATGTGGATGCAAAGTTATACTCTATCAATTTTAGGGCATGTCATTTTCAAGCAGGAGCCTGAGAAAAGGGCAGAGTGATGGAGAGGTTGGTTTAATATTATTATTATTTATTGTTATCATCTGCGTTTTCTTGGTGTGTTGGTCTGTACGCAGGATTGTGCAAAAACTACTGGACAGATTACAATGAAACCTAGTGGAAGGATGTGGTACGGGTCAGGAAAATCTCTCTTGTAAACATTTGATGTCATTTTTATGAATTTCTCAAAAGATAATACAGATACTTTATGGATATGCAATATGGTGATGAAGTGGCCAAACAGCCTTGGCTGAGGTCTGCGCTCTCTAAGTGTCCTTCTGCTAAAACATACAAAGGAATTGTAAAGTGCATCGTTTTCAAATTACACAACATAAACCAGTGAATCAAAGATAATGACACGATTCTCAGTGAACAGGTTTTCTCTTCAGTTCCTGGTTTGAAATGTTTAATAATGAAGATGTCTGGTTGTTAGGTGTTTACATGTTTATATACCTGCTTCTTATTCACTCTTTGGTTTATTTTCCTTTAGAAAAACACACGGATCACTGTTGTCTTGTCATTCACACCTGGTAGAAGTTAAAAGTTATACTTTAATGTGAGTATTAACGATGAGACATGCTGTGTTTTGCGCAGTGCTATATAGTATAATAGAAAGTATATAGTAAGTACACTGGTGTGTGGAATATGAGGTATTTATTTATAATGTGTAACTGTACTACACTGAATAAACTCAGAGGAGAACAGCTGATGGTGACTGTCTCTCTCTGTCTCTCTCTCTCTCTCACACGCCCTCCCTCCCTCCCTCTCCAGGCTAGCCCCCGACAGCTAGCTCGCTAGCTTCACAACACTCCCCGGTAACGTCAATAACCAGCTGCCTGTTCCACTGGTCCATTATTTGTGTTCACCATGGATTTGAGTACCATCCTGTCGCAGCTGGAGTCGAACAACGAGCAGGAAATCGAGGAGCTTCTGCGTCAGTACAACCGAGAGGTGGGGAGCGGCTGCGCTTTTTCTTTTTACGTCATCCTAAACAAACTGCAGCGCTAACGCTAGCTAGTTAGCCGCGAGTTAGCTTAACATCTTGTTAGCCAACTTAACCGAATGAGAGCACCGACGTGTGGTGATTGCGTCGTTAACACATCACCAGAAAAACTACGAATAGCCCGACGTGTTGTTAACATGTGGTTCACAGCAGCCATGTAGCGCTGGTGATGCTAATGTTGCCTGTCAGAGTAACAGCAGTGTTAGCATCAGCTGATTCTCTCATGTCCTTATTGACATGTATGTCTGGGTGGAAGACGCCGAGGCCCTTGAGGACTGCAGTGTCATGTGTACCAAACATTTGTAACAGGCCGTGTTTCATGTGTGTGTCTGTTTCAACAATGTGCATCGTTTCTGTTTCAGAACACTCTCATCTTCACTTTTGACCCAGAGGAAGAAGCCCTGCGGAGCGTAAGCACTGAATCTGAGCTGGTCGTTTCTAAATGATCAAGAGATCGTCCTGTTTCATTGTGATGAGTGTTTCTCCACCTGTTTCCTACACAGAAGCTGTGTCAGAGTGTGCTGTCAGTACTGGGGAGGCAGGTGCAGCCCAGCTGTCAGAAGACATGTCTGGAGTCCCTCCGCATCCTGTCCAGAGACAAGCGCGTCCTCGGACCCGTAGCCACCAGGGAAGGCATGCTGACTCTGGGGGGGCTGGCGAGGCTGTGTGCAGGAGAGGAAGGAGGTGACAACCAGATAAGCTCACAGGAAGATTCTTCCTTCTCTTCAGAGGAGGAGGAGAGGGTGGTGGTGGAGGCCTTGAAGTGCCTGAGCAACGTGATTCTTAACAGTCCTGCAGCTCAGCAGGTTAGTGTAGATGTGCAGCTGGTTAACGGTCTGTGTGCCAGGCTGCGTACGGCCCGCACATGGAACCATGAGGTGGGCCTGTTCACACTGCGCCTCCTCTTCCTGCTCTCTGCCCTGCGTCCTGATGTTAGAGGGGTTTTGAGGATAGAGAAGCATGCAGTGAAACTACTGACTGAGGTCCTGGAGCACACGCTGGATGTGCACTGGGTCGGCCTCTATGAGGCTGCTCCTCCAGATCCGCAGGCCCTGCCCATATCTGCGGAGGACAACCAGCGAGCAATGGAGGCACTGAAGGCCTTGTTCAACCTCACTTTGTGTGACGCCGGTGAGGTGAGTGTGTCGTGGTTGTGTGTCGTAAAGCTGTGACAGTGTGTAATGTACAGTAAGAGCTCACATTGCTCATCACTTATCAGGGTTTGCACTGACGGGGCAGAGAAGATATGTGTTTCTGGCTCGGTCATTTGCTCAATTATGGATTAGATTAAACTGTCTCGAACCACAAAGATCATACATTTGATCCCCACAACAGCCAATTATGTCTCACCAACCATTTGTCTGGGTGGAATCCTTCTGAGGAAGACGCCTCTCACTGCTGATTCACTGTCAGTGAGCCTTGGTCAGCTGAATCTCTGAAATGTGGAGCAACACAATTAAAACGTAACAACCTCACCATCCAGTTTACACACAAACCTTTTTCCTGTATGAAGCATTAACCTGATGAGTGTGACCTTAAAACCCTTTAAAACCAAATATCATAACATCCATAATAAACTTGTTCTGCAGCAGCTCCACACAATCATGATAACGTAAATATTTGAAAGCACTGATAAGGTCAGACTGGGTCCACTCACTAAAATAGATCCAGCATTCTCGCTTTCTGTTTGATAAACAGACCAGAAATTGCATCTTCTATTCCTGTGAATCAGATTAGATGAAATATGAAGAGGTCACAGTTAGACAATATGTCAGGAATGTCATTATTACAGTAATAGTGGGTAGTTACAGTAGATTTGAGAATATGAGAATTAAACTTGTCACTCTTGTCTAAGAAGATATTTCAAACACTCTACATTTCATGCAACTTGCATGAAAGGCTCACATGACGGCAAAGGCAGCCTCTAACACAGTGTAAGTCCTAATGGCTTTATGTCATTTAACCTCTTAGACTCATGTAGGGCCCCTCCTCTCCTCTGTCATGTTTTAAAAAATCCTAATTCCAAAAAGCTGTCTCCCTAGAACACTGCTGTCCTCTGCTACTATCTTTCTTTAGTCCACCTCTTAAAATATTTAAGCTCCCATTTTTGAAAGTAGGCATTTGCTTTTAGGGTCCTGCTCTTGTAGTTTGAACATGTTTAACTTTATTGCTTTACTTTTTTTTTTTTTTTCCTTTCCAATAAAACAGCGTTCTTGCTATGAATGATTTTGAAACTCCTTTATTTGACAGGAGGATGATCACCAATTGCGGCTAATCACTGCCATCCTGCGTCATCTGTTGATGCTGAGGACTGAGACAGAGGAGAAAACAGAGGAAGCACACAGGTAGGAGAGCTGCAGCATTGAATGGAGGTGCTCTGCACTTTATGACCTGTGAAAGGACACTAGACCAACAGCCAAGATATTTGGCAAACGTCATTTGAAACTGATTTGCATAGAAAAGCACACAGATAGACAAAGGACTTCCACCACACAGGAAAATAACTAGATCTGTGTACAGACTAGAAAATCCCCTGCTGTGATTCGAATGTAAGCACCCACTCTCACCAAGCCCTGAGTGTCCACTGAGCAGCAGTGAGCTAGCAGCTCACTACAAATGAAGACTGATATCTGGTAGACTGCATCGTGGGAAAAACACCACAGCAAAGTTGTTTCTCTGGAGCCTTATTGGGTGTTTCATCTTCTAAATGCTTTTAGCGGTCGTTATACTGGAGCAGTATCTTATTCTAAAGGTAATTTAATGCAGGAATGCCAAGAATCTATGGCCCCGGATTCAAACTCAAACAGTGTCACGTAAAAGTGACTGATGTTCCTCATTACCTGTCAGACTGGCGGCTGAACTGCTCATGGGATTTTGGCCCAATGACCACAATTAACATAGTGGTAGACTGTTTAAATGTGAATAAGTAACAGATCAGGTCTACTTAGAAAATGGTGCTGTGAGGAGAGAAAGTAGTTTTTATGTAGTTAGAATGTGTTGAGTTAATTAGGATTTATTTTGTCAAATTCAATTTCCTAATTTAGTTTGTCTTTTGTTTGATTCTTTTTGCTTTTTAAATCAGTTTACACCACTCTTGTACCACAGTATCACCAATTATCTCTTATTGTCTAATGTGGGAGCAAAATTGATTTTAGACCAAAAAAATACATATTTTATAAATAGCAGATAATCTCAGATCTCAGTTTCGCAGTCCTTTTTGACATCAGGGTCTTTGACTCTTCTCAAGCAAACTGATCCAAAGCTTTAAACTACTGATTCTATTTACTTCTCAAACCTTTTTGATTCCATCCTGTTGAAGAATGTAAAAATCTTTCATAATTAAAAGTTGTTGTTTTTTTATTACCAGCCATGCTGTCAACTTGCTGAACAACCTGCCCGTGTCCTGCCTGGATGTGTTAATCGACGTGCCTGTCCAGGGTGGACTTGAGAAATATGGTGGGAAAAACATGGATGCAGTCCAGATGTTACTGGATTTCATGGAGAAAAGGATCGACAAGGTAAAGTTCATCCTCTGCAGTGAATATAGGGAGGACTCTAACTCTCAGTCTGAACGTTTGCTGAGTCCATTATTTCTGTTCATGTGTTCTTGATGGTACAGAACGTAAGAAAAACATTTTGCATGTAAACTATAAGACATTTTAGTACTCTCACATACAGCAGATTTTGGGACACATTTTTGTGGAATTCTCGCTGGTTGGTCTCTTAATTGGAGACATACAGTTCATTTGTCCTAAACCGCCGGTACGCCAATTCACAATATTTATCAGCTTGTGCAGCATGTGAAGTCATTTTTGTCTGTGTCACTACAAGCAGGGCTCCAACTACAAAGAGGGGCTCACTCCGGTGCTCAGCCTTATGACTGAAGGATCCAGACACCACAGAGAGATCCGCAGATATATCAAAGCTCAGGTACAGTCACAGACCGAAGCCTTTTGAGTTGCTACTGGAAAATGAGAATATGAATTTTAGCTTTAGTGTCTGAGTAACAAATTAAAAACTCACCAGTGTGATAACCAGATTTAAATTATGTTATAGCTTGTAACAGTGTGGTTATGTGTGTGTTCATTATGCTGTGACTAGGTTTAACAGCTTGGCTATAATGGCCGAACATTTTGATTGGAAACCTCTGTATTTTCAGGTACTTCCACCACTGAAAGATGTGAAAATCAGGCCAGAGATTGGCACCACCGTCAGAAACAAGTTGGTTCGCCTTATGACTCATGTCGACATGGGTGTGAAGCAGATGGCAGCAGAGTTTCTCTTCGTGCTCTGCAAAGAGAGCGGTAAGAGGGGGCAAGTAATCATCAAATCAAGGGAGGAACAGTGAACACAGCACATCAGATGAGAAAATAAGAATAAAAGATACTTTCTGTAGTTTAGTTAAGACTGCTGTATAAATGTAACTCCAGCTTGCTTTATCCTCACACATGGACATTTATATATATATAAAACGTCACACCCATGTGTCTTTATGGTTTCCTCTTTCAGTGGACAACCTGCTGAAGTACACAGGATATGGAAATGCAGCAGGACTCCTGGTGGCTCGAGGACTTCTTGGAGGAGGGAGAGGAGAGACTCAGTACTCCGAAGATGAAGACTCGGACACAGAAGAATACAAGTCTGCCAAACCCTTGTGAGTAACAGTCTGATGTTATTAATGTTAACGTCTTGCTGATGTATGAATTAGTTCACAGCTGCACATTAAGCCCGCTCTCCTCCTCATCTGCAGCATCAACCCCATCACTGGTCACGTGGAGGAGCCAATGCCGAACCCCATCGAGGAGATGACGGAGGAGCAGAAGGAGTACGAGGCCCAGAAACTGGTCAATATGTTTGACAAGCTGTCAAGGTAAAACCAACTTCTGCTCGAGGCTGCAGAAACACTTAGATCATGAGCGAAATATACTAGATCATTAAATTTAAGTTCATATTAGCATTCAAGCCAAAAACGGCACTGAGGATAAAAGTTTAAAAAATCTGGTCCATGTGCAAATTTTTGGATCCAGACACAGAAATATTCATCACTTGTTGCGAGGCTCACAGGATTGTTTGGGCAGGTTTATGCTACTGTATACTGTTTATAACCGGAGACCATAGTATGAGAGAATCACAGAGTGTGGGTTGCCATGTTTATTCTGGATTATATGTTGACTTATGATGGTGGAGAGCATCTGTGTGCAATGGAAAATAGAATACACTGATTTAAAAAAAAGTTTTTCAGGTATTGTGAAAACAGAAAAACATTACAAACACAGAATTCTTTGACAAACAATTATTTTTCCTTTGCAAAGGCTCGAATAACATGATTAACTTTTCCCTCTGCTGCCACCCCTGTTCAAATTATTCATATTAGTTATTGTTCCCTCTGCAAAGGGCCCTTCTGCATTTATGTTGACCTTTCCTTAGCGAACAGAAGCTAACGTTAGTCGAGCATGATGCCTGTACAAAAGTAACAGTGAGCCTGCTCCCTGCCAACTGATTCATCATAGGAAGAATCTCTTGCCATTAGCTGCAGCTTCAATTAGGCCTGGACTTCCAGCACGCCGCAGCATTCAGCTGGAGGAAATGGAAGCTGCCAGGACGCCACTGCAACATCATTACCACCTCTCCATTAATTATCACCTAATTGGCACACAGTCGGCCTGTTGGTCCTGGCTCCTTTATGTGTCGCATTCAGGTTTTTAATAATAATACATGTCCTGACTTTATTCTTCTCATTCTGAGAAGCCAGACAGGGAGTGGACTGAGACAGAGGTACAGCTAGACAAAGCAATTTAGATGGAACGTGGACGCAGAGGAAGAGACACGGGTGAACAAATGTGCAGACATAAGAAAGCTGACCTCGTCATTGTTGAGCCAAAGAGGGGGGTTGAGCTGTAATGAGGCACGTGTGGCCAGAAGAGGAAGATTCCTTTCTGAGGATGCGTCCTCTTTCTTCTCTTCCTCAGTGAAGGAGTTTTAAGGAGATGTGGTGAAGACCGAGAGGTGCTCCCTACACTTGCCGCTCTGGGGAGATCGGTCAAAGCCCAACAAGAATGTGCTCCCCTAATTGCTTAACTGATCCTCCAATTAGCACATATTTTACACCCCCACCCAACCACAACCAACACCCCCTTACATCTGCCAGACCCTTAGCCCCTCTGTCACTGATGAGGAGCCGAGCAGAGGTTTCTTTTGCTCTTATTAGTAGAGATAAAGGGTTCCTGTTTTTGTTTGTTGTGTCTCGTTAGTTCTCTTTCTTCTGACTTTGACCAATGATCTGAGGCTGTAGACCGATGATGCCTCTGCAGATTTCATCAGTGAAAATATATCAAATCCATGCTACAATATTCTCAGATTTAACCACTTCTCAGTTGTTCTCAATTTCTCTTTAAAGAACTTAACCTGCTGTTTTTCCCAGGATAAGTTAAATTTAATTGGAGGAATTACATGGCCGCTCGTGTTTGAATCTTTGAAATGAATGAAAATGGGCTCCTCTTTAAATCTTTGATGATAAATCATCAGGGAGGGAGTGGTGACACAAAGTGCAGGTATAATTGGATTAGTATGAAGGGGCAGCCGTGGCTTTGAGGAGATTAGTCTGAGCGCTGATCCTGTAATTAAAGTGCCACAGGAGAGGAGGGGGTGAGGACCGAGAGGGAGAAAGAGGATGGCCCAACAGGGGCCAGTGTCCATAAAGAAGGGGGGAGGGGTTAGTCGAGTGAGGGTCCTCGAGTTGTGGATGTAAGAGAGTAAAGATGTACAAGTGTCCTGACCAGAGAATTTTTCTTCCAATATACAAGAAAACAATGACAAGTTTTATGATTGAGGCGATCTTATCGAACAGCTCTTCATCCAGCTGCTGATGTTTTTGCCTGATGTTTTTGTGTGTTTGCAGGCAGAACCTAATTCGTCCCATGGGCGTCAGGCCGGACGGGACGTTAGCACCTCTTGAAGAAACGCTCTGTGACCCATCTGAAGGCAACTCAGGATCAGACTCTGATTAGTGCTCTGCACATCCGAGGCCACATTTCCAGACTAAGCCCACAAGGCCCCCACACTTCTAAAGCTGCGTCCCATTTCAAGGGCTTGGATCTTTCGAAGGATTGTACCCATGACGGTGGGTCCTTCAGAGAAGCTAAAAGCTGAATTTCTAAAAGAGAAAGTCTAAAAGTCACAGAAACAAAGTATAGAGCAGTCATAAAATAGAAAGGTCAGATGCTGGATCAGAAAACCTTTCATTTAAAGTTGCAATCAGACAAAACACCAGCCTATTGCAATGTTTTCAGTTGAGACAAACAAACGATCCTGATGATCGAGCCCTGAAGTGGGACACAGCTCAACATTTCACAGGAGACTTGAGGGGCCACGTTGCTGCCATAAGCACTTCTTTAAAGCCGAAGTGGACTTGATGCGCGATGCACCATGAAGCATCGGAGGCCTCCGTGGTTACTGTTCCACCATCACCCCTTACTTTCCTGCTCCCTGAGTTGAGATGATAAAGGTAATATCATACATTTTGCTGGATCTTGTGTTTCTCATTGAAAACACGGTTATCATGGTTTATTAAGTGTAATTGGATCTAAATCAACATTCCTCCACATGTGCTTCTTGTTTCTCACTTTGTCTCTTTATTTTTTCTGCTACATGTTCTGTCCACTGTTTATATATCGAGATAATTCAAGTGCACATAATACATCACACATTACACATGAAATTAAGATCACGGAGCCTGTCCGGCCTGGTCCAGAGGATTGATGTATATTTAGAGATCATGCAGAGTCGGTGTGGATAGTTTGAACTCGCAGCTCACAGTGAGTCTTCATTAGTTTGGGTAATTATAATGAATGTTGCACATCAGTTAGTTGCCAAGGAAACTTTCTGAATTCAGGGCTTGTTGGCGGAAGGTGTTCTTGGAATATATGAATTCAATTGTTGACAGAAGTAAACCATTTTTTTTTTCAAAGAAATTCTTTTCTAATCTACATTTCTCTTGCCAAATCTGCATCTTGTTAAATTAGTTTGTGTAATGTGATTTGTTTTCTATATTGAAATATTTGCTAATTTTATAAAAAAAATCCAGTTTAGTCTATATTTAAACTGAATTTCTTTTTGTTTGTACACTTTTTGATTAAAAAAAAAAAAAAAGTGCCACTTCTCTAGTCAGCTGCATATAAGTAGACACAACAGATTTGGTCTCTGAACTAAAATCATAGGTTCTTTGTGGTTAAAGGAAAAAAAATAATGTGCTTATTACAATCCAGAGAAACTGAATATTGCTTTAACCAGAGAACATGTTTCATTATCCCAGAATGTGGTGACAGCTCAGTTGTTAACTCATGAGCACACTTTTCACCTGACCTGTGAATCACCACTACTGTCTCCTCACATAAAAATAATGTGACAAATTAAAAGGAAAACCAGCTATAAGTGTCTTAGGAAGGTTTTGGGAGTTTTCTGAGCAGCTTCAATGTCTGCAAAAGATAAAAGTTGCACAATTTGAATTGTTATAAACCATCCATTGACCATTTGTTTTGTTGTTTCCCTTTAATTTGTCATTTGTGGATCAGTTTCTTCTCTCACACATGTAAATGCCTGGTTTTTCCTGCACAATCATTGTGGGATTCATTAAAACTGCATGATGATCACATTCTGCAAAGATTATGTTACTAGAATTCTTTTTGTTTTTGCACTTACAAACTGTAAACAGCACCACTTTTGTTTTACGTAGTCAGTCATCCACTGAAAAGTTAATAAATTGGAGAATAAGTTAAATGTTTGTCTTTTTGTGGACTCATACAACAAAAAATATGCAATAATTACACAATAATTTTATTAAATATTGTTTAAAATACAATGTTGTGCTGATATAAGACAAAAACAAGTTGTTGCTGTTGTATAAAAAAACTAAGAAATATTTTATTTATTCTTACAGGCATCTGACTTTAACTAGTGTTGTGGCTAGAGTCTCACCCACATCATAATAAGTGCTTTAAACGTGGTTGAAGTAGATAAATCCTTTTCATTTGTACATATGAACATCAAACTCTTAATAAAATAACAGGATTAGAATTTAAATGCATACAATAAACTGAAGAACAGTCTTAGTGTGAATTTAACAGAGAGGAAACTGTCACAAAACCTTTCCTGCATCATATGAAACCTGCAAAGTCAGTGGCTCAGGTTGGATGATGCAGAGCTCTTGCTGTCCGTCTCAGAGTCGGTCTCCTCGCTGCCACTGCTGGCTACTCTCTGACCTCCTGGTGTGGGCCTGGATGTTTCCATCTGACCTGGAGGCTCGGACATTACTGTACTTTGACAAGGCGACTGTACGCTCACTGATGGAGCGCTGTTCATTAGTGTGGGGATGATCTGCATAGAGGGAAATTATGCTTTTAGAGTCAAGTACCTTAGTGTTGTGACTTGTTTGAGCTCAAGATGAAACTCACCGATGTTTCCTGACTCCTCATCAGCTCTGTGATCTCGTCGTTCCAGCCGAGCATTTCAGCAAACCTGCGGACTGTATCCTCCAAGTCGCCCAGCTCCATGTGGTCTCCTCTTCGCAGTGGGACCTTCTGAAAGGGACCCACGGCGTGTCGGTTCAGCAGCAGACGTGGAACAGTGGAGCGCACTGTATTCACAAGGCTGGCAAATGGCTCGATCTGAAACAATTTGTGTTCATCAATAAATTAGCTTCACAATTATGTACTTTAATGTTCTGGAAATCTATTATAAGTAATAAGGATGGATAATAAAGTCAAAACGTTGACATTTACCTGTAAAGACGTGCCCATGATGATCAGCAGGTCTGCTTTGGGGAAGTCTTTTGTGTGGAGGAAATACTTTTGGGGAAGGTCCTCTCCAAAAAACACAACGTCAGGTTTGACGGTCGCAGCGCAGAATGTGCATATGGGAACGTTGCCGTTCATAATAGCATGCTGGGAATCAAACAGGAAATATTACTGCATCAGTTCTCATCTCACTACTAACGTTGCTGTTGTGTTGGAGCGGAGAGGCAGACATACCTTAGCCTCCACAGCAGGATAAGGAGTGTAGCACAAGTGACAGGAAGCTGTCGCAAAACTACCGTGAGCTTCCACTAGTATGTCGTCTGGGATGCCACATACTGTGAAGAAGGTTAGAAGTGTTGTGGACAGGAAGGGCAATAAAGTTCATCCATTAAACAATACACATACTGCATCTAGACCAGACATGTTATTGTGTGTGTATGTTTGTACTTAGGAATAAAAAAGTTTCAGCGGGCCCATATTTTTTCTGAATATCTATTTCTGGCTGTTTTTCTGTTCAAAAAGGTCTCACTCACATTTCTCCAGTCCGTCGATGTTCTGTGTGTACAGGCGGAGCAGAAGGCCTTTGTGATGAAGCATGCGGATGAAATAGTGTATGTAGTTGGGTCGATGGCTACCAGGATACAGAGCTCTGGCCAGGGAGAAGAAAGGCTGCGGATCATCGGAGAAGTAGTCGATGTTGAAAATGGCCTCTGGGTAAGGGATGTTGAACTTCTCCAAGTTGGCGTACAGACCTGTGCCTGGGGTTCTGAAACGTACATTTTCATTTGAGCCACACGTGATGCACAGCAGCTGATGTTACTTGTTCCATAAGATTAAAAGGTTCCGTGTTTGGGATTTAGTGATATCTAGCGGTGAAGGTGTTGATTGCATCCCATAATAATAAGGCCTTCAGGGGCATAGACGCAGTGTTTGATTTGTCTGTTGATGAAAAAAAACCATCCTGGTGCAGAGGGAGTAAACCCAGAGAAACCAACCTGAAGTCTGGGATGCCGCTAGCTGTGCTGATTCCTGCTCCAGCCACCACCACCACATTTTTACATCGTCCCAGCTTCACCAGCCGGGCCACAGATGCAAGACCACCCCGGGGCGAGGGCTTGGCAGCAGAGGTAGATGGGATGCCCTGAGGAGATCTGGACCCAGAGGACTGTCCGTCCTGCACAGGGTCACTGCTAGTTTTGGATGGCATTCCTTTACTGGAGAGTGGGACGAGATAAGACACAAACACACCCTGAGACCTTTTTATTCTTTCCTTTAAACAACCAACACCAACATGAAAATATTTAAAACTATATATCATGTTAGTTTGTCAACCTCTATCCTACCAACTATGAGACATTACAAAGGGGATGTGGGAGGTCACCTGAATGTGTCTGAAATTGTTTGCATGGTCCAGGCTCATGCAAATCTAAATATTTTGCATGCATCAGGTTTCACTCCTCTTCATTTATCCCAGAGAAATGAATTCTGTACTTGACATGCAAATGACTCTAGTGGCGACAGCAGGGGTGTTGGTCGACCAGTCATCACTTTGGTCCAGACTGAAATATGTCAACCACTGGATGGAGTAACATCAAAGAGTCATGTTCCTCAGAGGAGGAATCCTCAGATACCTGCATAGATTCCTTATATCCCCATCAGTCTCCACTACACTTTGTATTTACTGTCATTTAGCAAATGATTTAATATCAGCAGGTTACTGTGTCCAAAATTAGCATTTAGCTCAGGTACAGCCTCACAAAGCAGCTTGTGAGACTGTACACTCCGAGGTAACAAACAAGAAACCAGGCAGAGCTAACTTGTACTGGGTTAATGTGTCTACTTACTAACATACAGGACATGACTTCTTTTATTCTATTCCTTCTTCTCTGATCTTGACGATAACTTTAATTTATTCACTCAATCATTTTTTATCACTGACAGCAATAACATCCCCTTCTCATTTCCTTTTAAAGGTCCAGCGTGTAAGATTTAGGTGAAAGGGAACTATTGGCAGAAATTGAATATAAAATAATCCTGGTGATGTTTTCACTAGTGTGTTTGAATCTAATTGTTTTTTCTTTACCCTAGAATGGGCTGTTATATTGAAATACTTTATTTATTTATATCGGGAGCAGTCCGCTCTACGGAGGCTGCCATGTTTTAACAGTAGCCCAGTCTGGACAAAGGAATCAACCTTTGAGTTTTGATGGCAACTGAAGGTTTCCACAGGTTCTCCTCTGTGTTTGGAAGAGGAGGTGAAGTGAGGGGTGTTCAGCTGCAACATGCAACTTCACCACTAAATTCTACACACTGAGCCTTTAATGTTTGAGCATTTAAAGTCGCTGCATCCTCACCTGGTGGGTAAAACGTTCTGTCCACTCACACTCATCTTGCTGAGGTCCTGGGCCAGAGAAGAGTCCGCCTGCTTCTTTCGTAGTTTTCCATATGGGCCCGGCCCAGAGTCCTGGCTCTCTGCTGGGTCCGTGTGTCGGACCTGGGAACTGCGGGTTATCCTGGTGACTGCAGGAGGCTGGGGGCCTTTTTTATGGCAGCTGGACCTGGATCTGTTCATTCCAACACCTGTTGACAGCCAGAGAGAAACAAAAATCATTGTTTCTGAGCTGTGGTGTTTCTGTTAATATTCCCTTTGTGCAGTCAGCTTGATTTGAATCATCAGACATAAAAACTAAATGAAAAGTGGTTGCTTGTTTATTTTCCTTTCAATACACTTTCTCTTTGTTTAGATTTTTTTAAAGCACTAATTAGATATCAACTAGTTTCCAGCAATTTGCTTTTTTATTTGCTCTCCTTCTGTCTTCCGTGTCCCATATTTAAAAAGCTGTTACACTGAAATCACGGTGGTGTCCTTTTCTGCTCAGTGCACAGAGAGGAGCTGAGATGTTTTAAACCTGTCAACTGTTGAACAAAAGGTAACTGCTGCAATATATTTAGCACCCCCCAGCCTCCTCAGCAGCTATGCTAATACAGTCCACAGCTGTGGCAGCTTTACTGTTCAGGGAAAGCGGAGGGTCGAGCTGTGTGGTGTGGGGGGGTGAGAGTTAAAAAGAGGGGTGGCAGAGGTGAAAGAGAACCATAGATTGACTGTGTGTCAACAAACCCAGCTGGGAGAGAAAGGAGGATGCCCCCTAATGGCCCCCTTAAACTGAGGGAAAAGGGGGAGAGAGGGGATGCAGAGATAAATGATATGGAGGCGGGATTCAGTTAAGAGGGAACAGAGGAGAAGAAGAAGAAGAAGAAGAAGAAGAGGAGGTAGGGGGGGACTTCTTTTGCAAAGCTATTCTAGGCCTTCAAACAACTTCCATGAGGAATGAGTGTGAGCGATCAGGGAGAGGCAGCGAACAAGGACACAAAAGAGCTACAACCCATAAAACACGACTGCTTCAGAGGGCGGCCGAGAGATAAGACCAGTTTTTACTAAAGAAGCAACTTATCGCCCTCCGGAGGGGGTGGCAGGGGTCAACAGAGGTTTACACAGCAGCAGCATGGCCAGCAAATAAAAATAACAGCGTCTGGCATTGGAAATGATGGTCACAACGCGTTTTTCTTTAATTGCTACATGAACAAATAAAGACAATTTGTTATTAATATTAGACATTAAGTAAACGTTGGCTCCAAAAAATCATTTCAGTCATCTCAAAAATCCAGCTACTTTCATTTTAGGCACTCAATCTTCTCTCACTTTGGCCCCACATTACTACAGTTTTTTCTCTCTCCTGCACATCCTAAAGAACTATTAAAAACAGTGGGGGGGTGAGGGTCTCGCCTTTTGTCTGGGCTCCTCTCAAAAAGACACTGCTGAGTACAGGCAATAAATCAGCAGCCCAGTTATTAAGGTCTCACACAGATGGTGCGGAGCAGCAGCAGAGCCTGTCTCTATCTGAACACACACACATGTTGGCTGGATTCCCTCCATTTTATATGATGACATTTACTAAATTAAACTGGCCTGATGGGGAAAACGTCAAAGAGAGAGAAAACTTAAACATGGGAGCTCATCTGTTGACTGAAGGAAATACTGATGAGGATACTATAGGTTACAACAGGTCAAAAGAGAGAGCAGCAAAGGGAAAAGTAATGAAGGACACCTCAGCAGCAACCTGAAACAAGTTAAGATGGAGCATGTGAACAGTTCTGCAGTTGTTTCTCTGTTTGCAGGATTACACAAAAACTACTCATCTGATTTCCATTACATCCTGTGGATGGGTGGGTTACAATTTGGAGGAGATCCAGGATTTTTTACTCACTTAACTCTAACATTGTGAGATTGGGTGTTTTTTTAACATTTTCTTTATTAGAGAATAATTCACTGATATTAATTAAACAGATCTGGCAGGTTTACATGACTGATATTTATGAGTGTTTGGTGCAGATCCAAAGTGAATATATATGTGGTTTCATCAGGGGACTGCTGGGCCATGGTGAAGATATGTGCTCTAGTGATTCTTTAGTTTCCATGTTAGTTTGTTTGTCTGTTAGTTAGCAGGATTACACAAAAACTACTGGACGGAGCACCTTGGTGGAAGGATGTGGTATGGGTCAGATTCGGTCAGGTTCAATTCCACCAGAAATGCTGTCATTATTCTTTAATGTTGAATAAATCCGTGTGTAAATGACAAAAGGCTTTAAAAGGATTTGAGAGCCCCTCCACCTCCCACCCTCTTTTTGGCCTTTCACACTACATCACTCTCCCCAGTCAACAAGCTGAGCTCAGCGTGTCCCAGGCCCGGACCACCAGGAGTGTCGCTGCTCATATGAGGGTTACAGTCATCTAATTAGGACAGTCCTTCAACACTGGGCACACCCCAGTGTTCACCATTACACCCCCGAACAGTAATCCGTTTACAGCACCAGAGTCTGAGACAAAAGGATGAGCAGCAGCGAGGAGCAACAGGAGTTAGTGTCGAATCAACAAAAATGTTTACTGCTCACTGAGAAAATAACTTCCTGTTTGAAATGCTGCATCGCTGTGAGGTCAAAGATATTTCTACTCTTAAAACTCAGTGTACAGTATATTTATATACAGAATATTAATCCAGTCTCTCCCTGCTTATTCTTATTATGTCATATGTTTTCCACACACAGATATAGAAATAAAGTTTTAATTACGACCTACATGCACAGGTTTTTTTTTATATTTTCAAGGAATTATTTTTTCCTTTGTCTTTCATTATGTATTTTTATAATTCAGATCAGCATACACAAACAATAAATGCTCCTGAAAATAAACTATGAAATTTAAATTCTTAAAGCCATTATACAGATGAACCATATCTATATAAAAACACCTTTTATACAGATGAATTATTCAACAACATATTTTTCTCCAGTTATTTAAAGAGCCTGAAGTTGTTCCCAGACTCTGACCGATCAGACCTCTGTTCACACTGAGGTCAGGTGAAGTCACCATCATCACCACCATCACCATCATCACCATCATCACCATCATCACCATCATCACCATCATCACCATCATCATCACCATCATCATCACCATCATCACCATCATCATCCAGAGCTCACACCTACTCTTCTTAAATCTCAGTTCATGACCCTGTAATCATCACAGGCTATGTTCCATACTCTGGCTCCCCCACTGGTCCACCACCAGAAAATAAAAATCACACTAGGACCACTTTGTTACACCCACTGTCTCTTTTGATAGCGCCACCTGTTGGCCTCCATGCAGTTTCTCACAGCCCTGTTAGCGAGAAGTCAAGATCCAGCTCACATGCTTTAATTTGCCAGTCTCAGGGTCGTTGGTATAAGACCCCTCACACTATATTTACCATTTGCCGCCTCTGACCTGTTAGATGTCCAATGTCTTTTCATCAAGAGCTTTATTTGCACTGATTATTATTTCATTGATCTGTCCTGTCACTTGTCTTTGTTGCTGATTCTCCTATAAACCACATGAAAAGCTGATCATTAACCAACTCAGACCTAATGACTATGATAGTTTACTAGAAAACATAAACAGGGAAAACTGATTTTTTTGGAAAGCTGGAGCCAGAAGATGTTTGGCATTTAGTTGTGATTAATAACTTGATAAATAAATAATGTAATAGCCCAATGATTTATTTATGACATGTTTTATCAAATTTCTACATTTTATCAAAAAACCAAACAGGTCTGCTTCTAAACAATTTAAATTCAAATAGACTATCTGACACGTCTATCTGAACCTTTTTCTTAATTTGCTCAAATAAAAACTGCAGTATAAAGAGATCCACTTAATCCAGCTGGAATGACTTTGCATTTATTATTGTTTTGTTTCTGATTATATACCATATAAAAAAATGTTTTCCATTGGCTAATTTTTTAATATGACTTTTATCTATAAACAGATTCACATTCAGTGTCGACAACAACATCTACCTGCTGTCTGCATAGTAACATGTCATCTGTGTGTTAAAGTAGATTTGGTTAAATTTAATGAGGGGCTTTTCCCCTTCAACCCACCATCTTACCCTCCACTTACAGCAGAATTGACGACCACCAGCTTTGATCTCTAGCCCCCCCACCCAAACAAAATGCAGGGAGGGCACCAGGTAACCATGGAAACCTCTTCATTACTTGTTTAGAGAGGTGACAGCTCTATGTTCTCCTTCTCCACCTGCTCACTAATGATTTCACTCTGTGTAGCATCTTTGTTGGACTCTCCGATGACACAAGGCAGCGAGTCCTAATTTGTTTTAGTGTATTGTTTGTGCTTACAGAGTGAGGAGGTGGGTGGTGGAGAGACAGTTGTGTCCAGTGGGTCGATGACTGACTAGCGACTCGTCCTGTGACTCCTCTGACGAAGCACCGGCCCTGAATTAAACACCACTCAACCAATAATGAGAGGTGGAGTTAATAAAGCCAACAGATTCAGGATCTGAAAATAAACAGTGAGTTCTGTTACATCATCCCGACTGAAAACACACGTCCACTCACAGTTTGCACCAATTATAATAATGATAGACGTGTTCCTCCGTCTATCCTCCGTTCATATTACAAAGTATTGGGACATTCTAGAAATTAAAGACCATCCACTTAATACAAGCAATCTAGGAACGTTATTATCACCTAATCTGCTAATTAACGTGTGTGACAAATCCTGAGAGGAAATATTTTTTGATAAGCACAACTTTCCCATCGCTGTAGAACTGCAGACTGAGTTCTGACACATGGAAAAGACAAAGTTGACAAACTCTTCAATCTCCATCTTCCAATCTGAGGTTGTGCAGCAGTAAGGCTACACTGTCACCTGCTGGAGCCTTTGTCTCATTACATGTGAAGAAGAAAAACTATTTTGCAAAAACCACCACTGCCACACAACACAGTGGTGTGTGATTAACTTCTCTATGAGTGTTTAGTATTTAACAATGATCCACAGTTTAGTCTTCAAACCATCAAACCAGTTTAACAAGCGAATATGTTGTTTCTTTAGAACAGATTAAGATAATGGCTTTTTGCATTTAGATCATGCAACACGCATCCCTGGATTCAGTTACATTATATATCTCCTCCAGACATTTATAAAAACTAACTGAAAGGAAGTGGGAATGAAATCTAGAATCTGTGGCTTTACAAATACGTTTTAAAAGAGTATTTCATTAAAGAGGAATTACACTGAGCAGGGTCCAGGTGTTATTACAAAGTGGAAGTCCACATCCCCTAACCTCAAAATAATAACAGCAATAATGATAACAATGATAATGGTGTATTTAACGTTAGAATAAGGAGATGATTCATTATAGCTACCTGTCTGTGCAGACGGAGGATGAGGAGCAGTCTGCAGACTCTGTTGCTTCAATCACATCCAGGAGGAAACGCACCGAGCTTCTCCGAACTACACTGATGAGTGTTGTTTACTCCTCGTGGTTTACAGTCAGATCCTCAACGACAACAACAACAACAACAACAACCTCAGCTTCACTGGACCTTCAGGTGTCTCCTTCTCAAACACACTGTTTATCTGCGGGCAGATGCACGGGGACGTTCTAGAGGACAGAGCTGTCACTCCGCTGCTGCTTCCGGCTGCAGAATAATTCATTACGAATACGGGCGGGAAACCGAGTTGGAGTCACGTGGTGCTGCACTTCCGCTTTCCTATTCCGGTGGTGTTCTTTAAAATTATTATTAAATTATATACAAGCACAAACAAACAGGAAACATTCATGTTTTCTGTTATTAGACTAAGATGGTGCGCAAAATTACACACAAATAATATGAAAGCACACCAGACAACAAGAGTGTGTGTGTGTGTGTGTGTGTGTGTGTGTGTGTGTGTGTGTGTGTGTGT